AAAAAAAAAAAAAAAAAAAAAAAACTCAACTTTCTCCCCCATCTCTAAAAAGAAAAGAAAAGAAAGATAAAAACATGAAATCTGGGAATAAGAAATTAAGGAAAAAGGGTGAGGTGGTGAGGTGTTGAGGTGAGTGCGTCACCTAGTTCGCCTCCTATCAGCGGCGTATTGGGAGAGAGGAACGACCTCCTGCAGCGGCGTGGAGAGCGGCGTGGGGAGGGGGGAGTTACGGCAGACGGGGCAAGAGCCGTTCAGTTTGAGCCAGGAATCAAGACAACACTGGTGGAAGAAATGGCGGCACTCCGGCATCATCCTCAGCATCTCCGAATCCTTGTACTCGCACAAACAAATGGAGCACGTGGTGTTATTGCTCCGCGCGCCCTCCCTGTTACTGAACTCGAACCTCGGGTAGGAGTTTATGACGCTCTGCTCCAGCCCCACGGCGGCGCTCTCCTCCTCCTCGTCCTCGTCCTCGGCCACGAAGATCACGCGCGGGAGGATGACCCCGCCGTCGGCAGACCTGGCTCTGGAGGCGGCTTGGGCGGCGGCGCGGGTGCGGTTGCGGCGGGCGCGGCAGCAGAGGTAGGAGGAGAGGAGGAGGGTGGAGAGGAGGAAGAGGAAGGCGAGGGCTATGGCGATGGAGTAGCCGAGGCCGAGGTTGGAGAAGTAGCTGTGAGGGTGAGGAGGGGACATGGGAGTGGTGGAGGAATAGAAGAAGCAAGTGTTAGAGGCAACGAAAAAGGGAAAGAGGGGTTCTCCTTCTCCATTTGTTAGAGGGAATTAGGGAGGGTGGGATTTTCTTTAGCTGTAAAGGGTGGGTGAGCCTCTCAGCTGCTGCATTTAATTCATCCCTCACTCATTTCTTTTCTCCCACTGCCTCTGGGAGTTAGCCTGCATTTATTTCTCCAACATGTCCATGTCCATGCCATTTACTTCCCATTTTTTCTTTTCACCCCCACTGCTCCTTTCCATTTTTATTTTTTTTAATTCCTTATTAAATATAAATCCCGATACCTTCTTCATGTCGTAAAAAACAAATTCAACACAAGCCTTCTAAGTTCTAACTGTTAGGTTCACAAACCTATTAGTGCGGTTTTTTTACCTACAATATGGCTTGCCACTTGCCACTTTCAACCATCTTTTTATTTACAACTATACTTTGGATTTTGGAGGTTCCTAGTCCTTGGCAGTGGAGGGAAACAGGGGAACCAACTTCTATCAATTACAACACACTACGTGCGCTCTTTCTTTTGGGACAATGGTTTGTGTGATGGTGGTGGTGTGAGATGGTTTAGCTGCAGCCATTGTGTGTGCGTGCCCCAATTGAGAAAAGGTTAGTGTTTGGTTTCTGGTGTCGTGGGGTGAGGAGAAAGCGAGTCTTGGAACAAATTGGTTCACCCATTTATGATGTTAAGAAACAAATCACGAGTAACAATAGTCACTATAAGTAATATCAACTTATGTATGATAATCAAGTTGTTGAAAGTTTAAAACTTAACTTAATATATAAGAAAATTTATTTTAAGTACATTTATAGTCTTTAATAAAAATTAATCATTACTTTTAATAATAAACACTTTATATTGATATTAATGACGAGTAATAATAATTACTATAAGTACATTTTTATTCTTAACAAAAATTAATTATTATTTTTAATAATAAATATTTCGTATTAATATTATAATTAAAAAAATAAAAATAAAAAAATGAAATGATCAAATATAACCTTAATATAATCTTAAATTAGACTCAAAAGATTACAACAAATCTACAATGATTCTATTTAAATAATACAAGTTTTGTTGGGTATCAGAAAGAATGAGCGGAATGCGGAAGCACCGGATCAAGTTAATTAGAGATAGAGAGAAGTAAGTAGAGAGACAAGAAAAATAAATACACACCAAGTTTACGTGGAAACTCCAAAGACGGAGAAAAAACCACGGGCGATCAAGAGCAAGATAATTCCACTATGTAGAAATAGGAGAGTACAAGAAGTTCTCTAATATCATGAGAACAAAGAGATAATCTCTCAAATATAGACTAAAAATACTCTCTTGAATCTTTCCTCTCTATGTATGATTTTTCTCAAGTGTGTAGATTGCTGAATCAATTGCAATTTGCTCCAAATGCTTGATGCCTTATATAGGCATTGAGAAGAAGCGTATGCACCCAGAATAAGGAAACCTAGAACAAAACAAGGAGCAAAAAAGAGGAAAACCATGCATGGAATCATGGCCTAAAATCAAGGAAACGTGTTTTCCTTAAAACAGGAAATATGGAAGAAATTTGTGTCATAACTTTACAAGTTTGTTTTTATTTGTTTCATTGAATATTTATTTTCACTGAAACAAAAGATTATTATGTGTTTCTTTTTTCCTTTGAAGCATTAAAAACATTATCTAACTTTGCATAATGAGACTATTAAATGCTATTTTCTTTTCTATTTTGATTTTTACAATTTTTCTTTAAAAATTTATACAATGATAAATACTTGTGACCATGAAAAAAATATATTAATTAACAAAAACCAACACAATTGATAAATAGTTAAATTTCTAAATTATGTCGTTAGAAATTTAATCTAGAACTATGTATATAGAAGAAATTTTGTTATAAGAGACAAAATTCATTGCAATAACTTTAAAAATGTATTTGAATCTTCTAAACCAAACAAATATGTAAAAAGGAATTTTTTTTTATCGAAATCAAACTTGATATCATGCACCTTGTATATTCGCCAAAAAAAAAATTACATATGCATTCTGTCATTTTTATTAATTTAATAATATATTGTATCTTTTGATCCTAAAGTTTATGGTGAATCTTATTGAATTTTTTCGAAATATAACGCTGATGATTTATGAGTTGAATATTTTATTAATTTTAAAGATCACAATCAATCTCACTTAACCTTTTGAACTTAAAATATTCACGGTTTATGACATTTTGTGCACTCTTTTAATTTTAGCGACCATAATCATATAACTATTCGAGTCGACAGTCTCTCAAATTACGTTACTCAGTATTATAAAAGACATTGACTATATAATAAGATATTAAAAACATACTCTAAGTGTGTAGTTTAGTGATAGGGATTAATTCACGTTTAAGCAAGGTTAGGGATTCGAATTCTGTCTTGTGTATGCAGTCACGTTAACTCTTAGGACCAAGTTATCCTACTTTTTGAAGTGTTCCAACGTAACGAAAAGATTAATTACTATTATCGATAATGGATAGTCTAAGGACGAAAAAAAAAATTAAAAACATTAAGTTAACAACTATAATAATTGATTGCGTGATTCTCTTAATCAATGTTCCAATCATATGGATCGATGGTGAATAAACACATATTAGTATTTTTTTCACTTTATATATATATATATATATATATATATATATATATATAT